CTGTGTCAGCTGGTAACAGAGTCGTCTGCAGAGTGGAACCAGCAAACCACAATAGATCATATATGCAGAGCAATCAGTCACATGCTCTCCACGAAACAGCCAAATCTTGACAGGTGAGTGGTAACACTGGGAATGTCCCCTGACCGTGCACTCGTCAGGAGTGTATCCCCAGAGCTCGTAGTAGGAGAGGAACTCTCCAGATCACAGCTGTATAAAGCTGTCGTAGTACATGGGCAGCAAGACTGGTAGAAGACAAGAACATTGGGTGGAAGACTGGTTGTTGCAGAGACTAGTGCAGCACACTTAGTCAGGATGGGGTTAACAGCACTGTCCAGCACAGTATGAGTAGTGATCACAGGCAGGCCACGTCTCTGTGCAGCATGAATGGCTCTCCTCGTGATGGTGAAACCATCTCGGACATGGATGAACTTCATGTCAGGGATCTGACCTTTGAGCAAAGAGTCATAGACCTGCTGACCAGACTTGTCCTTCACAGAGTGAGCAGTGTCCCATTGCTGCTTGGAGATGGACTGACCCTTCAGTGACTCCACACTGAAGTCGTTGGTTTTAGGGGACATGATGAAAAAGACCACCAGAGTCACATCACTGCAGTGCAGCTTCTGTAGGTAGTTGAGGTGAAACAAAGACTCCAGGCAGATGTCAGCTCCTTTGTTGAAGAACTCGTAGCATCTGGTGATAAAGAAAAACAGAGTCTCGTCCAGGTTAAAGTTCAAATGTCCACAGAAGTGTCCTCACACAACTTCTGGGTTTGCTTTTCTGGTGACGTGAAAGTTCTGGAACTTGTGGATGGCTGAGAACTTCTTTGACATTTGAGACCTGTCAGCCTCTTCTTCAAGCGCTTTTCAGAAAACCATCAATTGAATTAATGAGACAAATGTGATACATTGGGACATTGTGGCATCTCATAGTATTCTTTCATTAAATTGCATTTTCAAATATTATTTACCATGAATTGAATATTGTGTAAGTATTGAAACATCAAGTCTGTTATTTTGGTAGAGTGGTATCAAATTTATTCTCATTTTGCAGTTTGTTTTCTCTTTTTCAAAAATAGCTAGAATGATTTTATTTGAGAGGGATTGTTTCCTTCTCTCATGTTATCACTTCCTGTCCTCAGATCAATTTCTAAAAAGAAAATTTAACTTAGCTGAAATTTGAAATCTCAATTTAGAAGCCAGCATTGCCTCGTTGCAGTTCCAATGAAGATAATTTATTTAGAATTAACAATTTTAGTATTCACTTCTAATAACAGTTAATATCGCAATCCTCAATCCTTAATTAATTAAAGCAGGTTTCATAGGAAAATTCATGCTCATAAGAATAATACTGAGATCAAAAAAATAAAAATGCGAGTGAAGTCCAGGTTTGGATAAACTAAACTAGGAAAAGCAGAAATAAAACAAAGCTAAACCAAGAATAAACTAGGATTAAATCAGAACTAAACTAGTACTAATTCAGGATCAAAGCAGATCCAACTCAGACCTAAACCAAGACCAGATCAATTGTAAACCATATTTAAATTTGGATTGAATTTATAAACCAGCATTGAATCAGAACCAAACCAAGACTAGACCGGGTCCTAATCAGAACCAGAACACTAGTCGCTTCTGTTCAACACTACAAAACCTAAATCTGATCCATGGAAGCTACAAAAATATGAATTCATTTTGGCGGTAAACATTAAGAGACTACATTCAGTCAAATAAACTTCTGTTATGAACCGTGTTAACTGAAAACTTCTAAAACATATGTATAAAAGTAAGAATACACAGAGCAGGATTGGTGCTAAATCCGGATTGAGAATACATTTAAAAAATAGGCAATTTATTAGGTATAGCAGTTTTTAAACAATTCATAAATGTATATCCTGTAGAGGTGATCTCAGATAATAGCCCCTTAGTTTTTTTTATATCGAAAGTGATCTAAAAAAGTGGGAAACAAATTTTTGAAACTTATTTGCCAGGATGTTTCGTCTCCTCTTAGTGGAATAATTCTCATTTAGAAATGACAGTAATTCAAAGAAATCAAATAGAGATGTACACAGTTGACTTTTCCTAATCCTAATTTAAATTTTAATATCACAGAGGATAAAGTAAAAAGGCCAATGATAAATCAAAAGTTAAAAAAGCCACTGGATTTTAATAATTGTCTAATAAACTGCTGAAACAGCTTGGTATGTCCCAGTAATCTAAAGTTTTTTATTTACTTGTTTTAGGTTTTGTACTCTCTGACTGGCAAAAATCTATTATCAAACCAATTCTAAAGTTTTCAACTGCAGATCCTCGAGTCCCCATGAACTACGGAGGCATCAGGCTTACTAGTTGTATGTATAAGTTTATTCTAATGTTCTTTACTGAGAAACTGGTCAGTTATCTGGAATCCTTTAATATATATATTGGCAGAGGAGCATAACGCATTTTAGGAAAAAAAGAACCTGTATAAATCACATATAATATTAGAAAACAAGAGGGAAACCCTA